AGGCTCTTTTGAGAGGAGTTTGAAAGGTTACATTGCTTTCTCCTATGGAGACTTTCTTTATCAAGAGCATAACATTTCCAAAGCTCCGATCTAGGTTTGGCTTTGGCTTTTGTATATTCTCCTGTGCCTTTTTTAGAGGCAAGAAAACGGGGCAGGAAAAAAGAAGGAGTTAATGACAACTCTGGGGCTTTAGACCTGAATATGTGAGAGAATGGAGAGAGCATGGAAAATTGCAAACCAGAAACAACAACTAGGCCTAAAAAGGAAGAGCTTGGTTTGGGGACAGAACGTATAAATGTGCTAGGAAAACCCTGAGTGATCTAAAGGGGAAGGGAGGTTTGGGGATTGTCCTAGATTATGTGATAATTGAAACAAAGAGAGAGGATAGGATGGGAAAGAGGAGAAAATTGCAAAAGGATATAATCTAAAGAAACTAGTTAAAAAGATCTTATAAATGAAGCAAAGAAGAAATGGCTAGAGATGAAGACGAAGATTCAGGAGTCTATAATCTTACATTCTGTAATCATAACTGCTAACGTGTCATGGAGTCTCTTGGCTAACTAAGGCTGCTCATGATATTTTTATACTAAATTCTTTCCGAAGGAGAAATTTAGCCGTGACTTTAGGCAACTGGCTGGAAGCCATCCAGATATACATTGGTGAGCCCCAAGTGATACTGAGTGAATGCTAAAATAGCTACCTTGCTTGATTGGCACAGAAGCTTGCATATGATATAAATGCAGTTGGCCTCAGAGAATTAAATAGTTGCTGCAGATGGGATTTCATCACATTGAAAATTACAAATACTCATCTGGGATGGTAGGCAGTGAGCAGACCACAAAATTTTTAAAGAGGAAAGGAAATCATACATTTGCCAGGGCGGGATAAACCTGGACAAGCCTAATGTCTTTGTTTTGGGCTGGCATCATATTGACTCAGAGTTATTAACTCATAGGGAAATAAATTAGAGATTATCTAATAAATTCAGTTTGTTAGACAAGACAAAGATTTGGAAACCTAGCTAAAAACAAGAGCAACAAAACAAACTAAAAAGTCCTACAGGAGTCAAATAAGTAATGTAAGTGAGTAAAACAGGCCCAGTATTAGGGATTAGCAGACATTTGGTTCTAAAACCATTTGGCATGGGCCAAATATAATCACGGACGTTTTGGAAAGGACCAAATGTCAAGGAACTTTTGGCATAGGCCAAACGTCCTGCAAGGGGTATTAGGCAGTAGGGCATGGTGGAGACTGAGAAAAACTGGAGAGTCCATGACCTTTCCCAAGGGAAAAGCCGATACACAGATCCAGCTGATTTGTGCCACGCCAATGCAAGGCCAGTGTGGCCGGATCTGATGTTTCAAGTGGCGCCATTATCTGGATGTTATTATGTGATATTTTAAAATTTGTGCAATATTCAAGCCAAACGAAACAGGCCTGCAGATCTCGCTTATAGTCAACCAGTTTTTAGTACCTGGCCCATAGAATACATCTCTCTTAAACTGAATTAAATGGGCAGCTTCTTGGAGGAGGTAGCATTTGGGCCAAGCAAGTATACAGATTTTCCTTTATTCTTTGCTAGCAACTTCACTTCAGGGATCCCAGGCCAGAAGTGTGGGATGGAGAGAGAATAAGCATTAAAATGAAAAAATACAATTTTAAAATATGAACTGACTACTTAAGATATGCTCTAGAAAATACAAAAATAATATTTCGAAGTCCACAAGAGATAAATAGCCTTTTTACGTTTTTAAATTTTCTAAGAATAATTTCTAAGTATGTTTCTGGACATGCAATTTTCTAATTGGGAGCATGAGTAAAAAAAAAAAAATCACAAGACGTCACAATTATATTTTAATTTTAACCTCGTACTTGAAAATCTGGGGGTTTGGAGGGCATCTCTGTTTTCCAATGCAAGAGGGGGGAAAACCTCAAAAACCTTTAGTTTCACCTCTCTAAAATGAGTGTTGCTGTGTCTTATTTGGCCAAAAATGTCCCTTGCTGCTGGGATTTTGTGACATTACCGCTGATGGCATTTACGGTATTTCATTGAATCTAAGAGGCACATTTGGGGATGATTCCACAGCCCTGAAATCAGAAAGCATCTTACAATCAACAGCTGGCTGCAGGTGCAGGCACAAATACATCATGGACCTGCATACTGTTAGCGCTTCCATTGAGCTATAGGTCCTGTTGGTACTATACACGTGCAGATGTATGGTCATTTAAAATATCTTTTAAAGAATGATAAATCAAATGTGGCAAAATGGGATAGGTATGTAAGAATTCTTTGAACTATTTTGAACTTTCGCAAGTATAAAATGATTTCAAAATAAAAAGATAAAAAATGTCTTTTGCAAGATTACACTATGATTTGGTATTAAATCAGAAATTTATTGTGTATGCAGCAAGGCACAAAAACGGAGCAGCAGGGAGCAAATTGATCTTAGTGAAGTGAATTTTTGTCAGTGGAACAATGCGTTTTCACATTTTTCTCACAGAGTGTTCTACGAGACCGTGTAGATGAAGTTATGTGACATTTTGTATCTGAGATCCATGCAAAGAGATGCCTATTGCAGGCCAAGCCAGGCAACTGAATGTGGGAGAAATTGCCAATCCCTTGGCATAGATAAAAGATTTCAAAGCAGAGGCTGAGATGCAAGACCATCATTCAAAAATTGTCAGCATGTATTTCTTTCTTAGTGGACATTAAAAACAAATAAAACACAATCTAAAATTGACAGCATTTTAGAATTGACTAAAAATGAAAATGTAGTACTTAGTAGGGTGTAGTGGTTTTGTAATTATCATCATGAATTTATTTTAATGTCTTTTGCTCTAGGATCTGGACTCAAAGCTGAAATGTTCTCAGCTGACTAAAAGGCAGAGTGTCTTGACCGCAAAAATTATAAAACCAACACTATAAAAGCTTCATGAGATTGAGACTGTACCTGTCTTATTCACCGCTGTATACCTGACCCTTCTGTTGGTGCCTGACAAGTGGGAACACTACATAAATATTTGTTGCATTAATGAAAGTGAATGGATGCAATGAAACAGACTCCAAGGAAAGCAGATTTGCTCGGTAGAACATTCCCTCAGAAGGCAGGGAGTTGGGTCAGATGATCATTTGAACTTCATTATCTCTTCTATTCTGAATCTACATGCTATCTTTAATGTAGATTTTTAAAAGACTTCTCTGTATTCTTTTCAGACTAATGTTATTTTCTGACTGTGTAGCCACCAAGGCAGCTTGGATATGCTTCACCAATGAGTGGTTATAGATAGAGCTAGTTTCTCTCAAAACACCCTGATCCACCTCCTACAGAAGTCTGATTGCCTGGAGATTAGGTGCAGAAAGTCTTGATGTGGTGCCCAGGGGCAGGAAAAGAATTTTTGCAGGACCTCATGTGACCTCTAGTGTTCTCACCCTGGCTCCTAGCCCAGGAAGAATCAGAGTCTCTCTAAGTCACAGATGAAAGTCATCTTTGATTTAGAAGAATGGAATGTTGTCAATTCTGCGTCACTATGAGTTGGGAATAAGGGATATACATATGTATATATGTGAATAAGTAACAACTTATTTTACAATAGAGTCATGTGTCACTTAAAGACAGGGACACATTCTGAGAAACATGTCTTTAGGTGGTTTTGTTGTTGTGCGAACATCATGGAGGGTACCTACACAAACATAGATGGTATAGCCTGCTACACACCTAGGCTACATGGTACTAATCTTATGGGACCACCATCATATATGCAGTCCGCTGTTGACCAGAACATTGTTATGTGGCGCATGACTGTAGATAGCTCTTTAAAGCAGAAAAAGAACAAGCCTACATGAAAACTTGTTTAAAACATCTTGAAAAAATTGTGAATCTCTATGATGAAATAATATATTAACTATTTTGTCAATGTAATCTCTTGGCTAAATTATACACTAAATTTAAAATAGTACAGTTAATTATCAACTACCTTTGTACACACACCTTTCAGCCTCCATATGTGCTATCATAGTAATGACAAAAAAAATTTATTTCTGCAACTTAACCTGCAAGGAATAAAACATTTTCATATATCAGTGGCAGTAATAGTGAATCATAGTAAATATTAAAATTGAAATAGTAGTAAAATATTTTAAAACTCCATTAATTCATGGAGACACTAATCTAAAATTTATCATTTGTCTGCCCATCTAAAAAGTGAAGCATATAAATACAATTGTAGGTAGTCCCTCTTCATCTACTAAAAAAGAAGCCCTCAATTATCTACAAGTGACTGGCCTATTTAGGCTTTATTCTTACTTATTCCTACAGCAGGTTCATCAAGATCTCTGACTGGTTGGGATGGTGTGAGTAAAGCTGGTGAATAAAAGCTTGACCCTGGACTCAGAACTGTAACCGAGTATGGATGTCAGCTCTATCACTTCCTAGCTATATCTCCTAGGTCTGTTATTTAACTTCTCTAAGTCTCGGTTCCTTTTTATAAAATGGGGAGAATAACAACACCTACCTTATAGAGTTAAGAGGATTATATGAGTTAATTCATGTAATGAATCTGGCCTATGGTAAGTGCTCAGTAAATTTTAGCTGTTAATATTATTGTCACAGAAGATACATAGATATATGTCCTTGGGGATAACCCAGTAATTTAGATCTACTGGTAATGCTCATGGGCTTCCTCCAGTTAGTCACAGTTAGTGTGAATCTCCTTGTGTTAAAACGAACAGGGAGGGCCGGCCCCGTGGCATAGCGGTTAAGTGCGCGCACTCCACTACTGGTGGCCTGGGCTGGGATCCTGGGCGCGCACCAACACACTGCTTCTCCGGCCATGCTGAGGCCACGTCCCACGTACAGCAACTAGAAGGATGTGCAGCTATGACATACAACTATCTACTGGGGCTTTGGGGGAAAAATTAATTAAAAAAAAAAAAAAAAGGGAATAGAGTTGGGATACATTTATTGTGGTGCTGTTCACCATTTCTCCTTCCCTCTACTTACAGGTTTAAGATAGGCGATGTTGCTGTGACGAATGTCATTCAAGAGCTGATCTCTGGGAGTGATTTCCACCAATGGGGGTGGCCTATTTCTGGGTACTGGTTTGAGTGTTTTGATCACATCTTTGAGGTTGGTTTTCTCGGGTGGTTCTCTGGCTTCCGGCATCCGAGATTTGCGCTGGATCCTTTTCAGCTTCACCATCCGGAAGGAGTCGGGGTCTGTGCTGTGCTGAGGAGGCTGCGATGGCTTTTTCATCATTTCATTTCGTCTACTCAAGGGGACTGCTTGGGGGTTGGGAGGTCGAGGAGGAGGTTGGAGGAACTCCTGCATTCTGGAATCGGGCATTGGTCCTCCCAACATCTCCCACATCCCAGGTGGCAACCCTAATCCATTCTCCAACATGGCAATTAACTTTCTCTGCTCTTTGAGTTGCTGCTGTTTCTGTTCTTCTTGTCTTTTTTGCCTTTGTTTATCCTGATTCCTGGTGAGCAGATTGGTTACCACCATTCTGGGACCTGGAAGCTCAAAATGGTAGCCCATCTTCAGGAGAGTGTTGTTTGCCTTCAAAAGCCTGGATATTTCCATTTCAGCATGGTGGCCCAGCATGTGCCTTTGATTATGAAACCGAAGTTCAGTTAGTGTCTCATTAAATTGGAGACACCTCATGATGGCCACAATTCCTTTACCTGTGATGAAATTGGACTCGATGTTCAGAGTGGTAATACTCCTGTTTTCACGCAACATGTTAGCCAAGGCAAACGCTACATTCTCATCTGCACCCACATTTGCTAAACTGAAGGTTTTGATGTGTTTGTTTTTCTTCATGGCATTGACAAAGTCCAATAGCATTTCCTTGGGGATGTTTTCAATGTTGTTCAGGTTGAGTTCCTTCATGTCAGGATCATTTTGTCTAACTCGCTTCAAGCTCCCATCCAGGTCTGTTTGGTTTCCTGAAGGCCTTGCACTTACCTTCAAAAAACTGGTATCTAAAGCTAACTTCTTAGGATCTAATTTTGATATTTTTTTCTCACTTTTTTCTTGGGCAGCTCTTTTGTCTTTCTGTCCTTCGAATGCTTTATTAGTCACCTGGGGGCAGTTGTTCTCGCCATTTCTGATTTGCTCCTTTACTTTGCCTTCATCTTCTTTTTTTGTTTTCTCATCACTCTCCTCACTCTCCTCTTCTCCTTCATCGTCTTCATCATCTTCCTCATCTTCATCTTCTTCATCATTATCATCATCTTCATTATTATCATCATTATCCGTTTCTTGGACATTGTTGCTGCCCTTTGATTCTATTTTATACGCAGCAATTTCATTGTTGAGCTTTTCTTTTAAATACTGGGACACATTTTTGTTACCTTTGTCTATTTCTTCATGCTGCTCTTGAGCATTTTCCTAAAAGAGAGGTTTATGAGGGTTAGAATACATAGCAATGAAGAAATATGAAGTAGAGCAATATCGACCGGAGATAATAAAAAGATTTATTATTAAGTGAAAAAAGTAAGCCAATAAACTGTATGTGTACTATTCCATTTGTGTAATATATAATATATAAAATATATAAATATTTAAAATGTATAATATATAAAAGTTTATAAATGTATAGAAAAAAAGTCTATTGTAATGTTTACCAAATTAGTAGTTATCTCTGAGGAAGAGAGGTAACCATTAAGATAACTGAGGAAGGGAAGTATTTGGGATATTTTCACTTTTTACATTATATAACTCTAGAGTGTTTGAGTTTTTTTTTTTTTTTTTAAGAAAGTACACATATTAGTTTTGTAAGCAAACACAACCAAAATAAAGATAAATTTTTATAGACACACACACACATTTTGGGGCTGTGTTTGTCTCATCCCATATATTAAAATGAAACCTGGTTAATTTTGTTTTCAGATCCTGTATTGTTTTTAAAAATAGTGTTCAATTCCAGAAGCTGTTAAAACTATTTGTTTTGAAAACCTTATGGAGTTATCTATCAATACACTGAAGTCTTTGTTTTGTATATAGCTGAATAGGCATCTTTGTATTCAATGGCCCTGGGTTACACAATAATTTCCTTATTGCCCTAACCAAAATTTACATTCCTAATATGCTTGCTAATCTAGTATAAATAATGTGTATGTGAAGTTTCCCTGAAAACATAATATATGGTGGGGAAAATGAAAGCAGTATGATATTTTGGATATACCTACTCTATGCACAGGCTCACTAAGCCAGTTTCTTTTAAAGGAAAGTGTCTAGGAGGCAGAGCCAGCTGCAAAAGGGGACAGGATTATGCAGCGATTTAGAAACAATTGCTTGGTCTGAGAAGGAAAATGGTAGTCTTCACCAATAATATTTGTTACATTCTTGCCCATCAATTAGTACACTTTCTTATACAATATCTGTACTTCATAGGCATCATTTAGAAAGCTGGTGTAGCAGTTTGAGACACAGGTTCATCCAAGCGAGAACTTGATCTCATTGCTCATAGCATAGTATAGGTTGGAATTGACAGTAATAACATCTTAACCACCTAAAGCCTTCCCCAGTTCATTTCTCATCTCTCCCAGCAGGGGGAGACAACCATTAAGCAGTTTAAATCATACCAAGGGAAGAAAAAGTGTTAAAAGTACCCAATTATTTTTTTCCTGACAGTGGTCTTTATACAGAATTGGCTTTTACTACAATTGTATAATATCCGCACATTGTACCTTAAACTCTAACATGATCGAGCCAGTAACTTATTTTCTTAAGGTCAGTACGTGTTGAAACTCTCCTGACCATGAGACCAGTTTATAACTTTCCTTAACTACAGCCAGCATGATAGTAATGTGACAAGATATATCTACATCAGCAGGCATAACTAAAAGAGACTTTACCTGGGGGGATCTCTGTCTTCTTTTTGCTAAGTCATTTTTAAGTGGAACACTAAAGAAAAATTATGCTGATGTACAATAAGTTTATAGATTCAACCACAATTCTAGTTTTCATATAAAAAACATATTTAAGAAAGAATTATCTTTTAAAAAAGCTTAATAGCTATCAATTTCTCAATTCATCACTGATACACAACGCACTGTGGGAATATTGAATATTTTTGGTTTTTTGATTTGATTTAATTACAGGGTGTGTGGCTGGCCTTCAAGGGGACTGTGAGACCCTTGAAACATTGCATATGTATGCACATGCCAGAAGAAGAGGGTACAGAGCTTTCTTCGGCTTCATAAAGGGGCCTGTGAGCCAAAAAAGAGTTAAAGACAACTGTTTCTGGGTTAATGAGTTAATTCACTAAGTATCATGTCGATAGAATACAGGCTCTCCTACACAGCAAACCCAAAAGCAATTTTTTTTGAAGAGGCATTTACAAGAAAAATTACCAACTTTTCTCTTGCAACTAAACAATCTAAGTGTTTCAGAAAGTTTCAGTCTGAAATAGATTTAAATACTATGATTTAATCTTTAAGCGACGAGAAAACAACTCAAAACATGGAGTCTTGAGAAATGACAGTTACAAGACAGACACCTGCCAGCCCAGGCCGCCATTTCTCTGTCATACACAAATCCCTGGTTACCTCAGATGGTACAAAGGTGACAGGAATGCGTTCATCTTCCAGCATGCGTCTGGACGCCTTTTGCCAATACATATAATCGACGAGGGATTTATGGTCGAAGTTTCCTGTCGGTGGCTTATCGGTTTGATCTTTCTGAATCATTCCCACAGGAAGCCTGGGGTCAGGGGCCATGACTTCCATTTCAGATTGCAGTTCCCTTAGCTCTTCGGGGGACAAGTTGGCCAAGATTTTGTCTTCATCAAGCTCCTCATCAAGAAGTTCTTCTTGATCTGAATTCCTGCTGTAGTCTGACATGGTTTTTTTCTGTATTTTTGTATCTTACTAGAAAAGGAGAAATAATCAAAGATGATTAAAAAAAAAACTCTCAAGAAGATCCCCAAGTTAACAAGTGTCCCAGGTCAACACCACCTTGAGAGATTTTCCCCCAAGAACCCCAGTGGTGCTCGCTGAGTAGCTAGAAGTGACTGCAGCTAAGCTCACGCCGTATCTATATTAAGCAGGGCTTGGCTGGACAGAGTCGATTTATGGAACGACTGTGCTGCTCTCTTTTCGGCAACTTGAGTCAGCTGTGCAAATCCATCTGACATTTTAGTACCGCTGCTTAGGTCCGCCAGTGAGTAACAGGTCTATGGAATCTCTGCAGGAATAAAACGAGTTCTGTTCCTATACGCTCTCACATCATCATACACAAATCCACGCAGCCCATACACACATACCTCAATACTACAGGGGAGACGACTTTTTATTTAAATGATTAAAGCAACTTACAATATTTCCAAAAGAAAATGCAAGCAGTGACTTGAGTTCTATTGAAGTGAAAAAATCATTCGGAGATGAAAATCAAGCTCTCAGAGTTGGCCTCTTCACCACAGTGTGACTCTGAAAGCAATAAACCAGCTCGCAGCAGAGCAGAGGTCTGGCTGTGTTACTCACCTGCTCTGTAAGCTGACCCCTTGCAAGATATCCTTATTCGCATCTAGATCCTGTGATCTAACAGATGGGGACAACCAGCACTTGAATTTCCACTGTGAGTGAGGAGTTTAATATTTTAAATAATGTTTTTCTTATTAAGTATCCATTAATCCAGGATAAATTTAAATGGGTCTAAATTGAAATATAAAAAACCCCAAACCATTAAAGTACTGGAAGCATGAGAAGATTTTTTCATAACTTCAGAAGGCAATATCGCAATATTTATCCACATGGCAATATTTATCCAAATGACAAATACACATTTCCTTTGACCCAGCAGTTCCGCTTTTAGAATTTTTTATCCTACTCTTTCTAGGATTTGTTTTAGACGTTTTTATCCATTTTTTTATCCTACAGATAGTCTCACATGGGTGAAATGACAGATGTACGAGATTATTCAATAAAGCAAAGTGCAAAACAGTGTGTATTGTATACCATTATTTGTGTGATAAAGGGTAAAAATAATATATATGTATACAAATTTTATCAACATAACAGATCCTTGGAAAGATGCACAGGAAACCAATAACCTCGGATAATTTTGGAGAGAGGAATGGGTTGCCTGTGAGGGCTGGGAAAAAGATTTTGTTACTGTATACTGTTTCCTAATTGTCAATTTGAACTTTGTGAATGTAGTGTTTATTCAAAAATACACATTTACTGTACAAAAGTTAGGATAATGCATGTAGGCATAAAGAAAATAAAATTTTCCCCTTATCTCACCAGTAAGAGCTACCACTATTAACACTTTGGTTTATCATTCTGTTCCGTTCTTCTAGGCATATGAACTCAATCTTTTGTCATCTGTTTTTTTTGATTTACAGTATCAGGATTTTTTAGGCTATTGTATATTCTACTACTACATAATTTTTAATAGCTCCCTGTTAAGATTCTTTATATTGACATACCATAATTTATGTAAGAAATCCCCAGTTGTTGGATATTTGGACTGTTTTCTTTTTTTTTTAGAAATTTATTTTATTTATTTATTTATTTATTTTTTTGTGTGAGGAAGATCAGCCCTGAGCTAACATCCATGCTAATCCTCCTCTTTTTGCTGAGGAAGACCAGCTCTGAGCTAACATCTATTGCCAATCCTCCTCCTTTTTTTTTTCCCCAAAGCCCCAGTAGATAGTTGTATGTCATAGTTGCACATCCTTCTAGTTTCTGTATGTGGGACGCCGCCTCAGCATGGCCAGAGAAACAGTGCGTCCATGCGCGCCCAGGATCCGAATCCAGGCCTCTGGTAGTGGAGCGTGCGCACTTAACTGCTAAGCCATGGGGCCGGCCCTGGACTGTTTTCAATTCTCACAAGCACAAGCACTTCTTCAATAAACATACCTGTAGCTAAATATTTAAATACATGCTAGGCTATTTCCTCAGGATAAACTGAATACATTCCAAGAAGTAAAACTGCTGGGTCAAAGAATATAAAGAAATTAAAGGCTTTTCACGTGTATTGCTAAGTGACTCCCTCAATATTGTTGCAACCCATCCTCAATACATATTAAAATTATTTACAAATTATATACATTTGTTACTGTTCCAATATTATATATATAATTTATAAATATTATATGTATAATATATAATGTATATTTATTATATTTTATATATTATCAAACAATACATTCTTAAATATATTATATTTATAATATTTATAAACATTTATAAATAAATTTTAATTTTTTGGCATATGTTATGTTATATGGATGTATGCATATATACATTATATATACATATATATCACATAGATATGTATGTGAAAAAAATTAAATGTGAGAAGTTTTAAATGGACATTCTAGTATTTTCTTCCTACCTCAGTGGTTTATCTTGAACACCACAAGGTTGAGAGGCTTTTCGTATATATGGCTAAATTATTCCCCAGAAAGACATTATCACTTTACTTGATTGGTCAAGTTCTTTAAAGTAAAGAACACAGGTACATAGTGGCAACTTACCACTGGCCTCTCACCTGTCAGTTCCTCCATTAGTCTCTGTAACAGTAAGTAAGAGCTTTGCCTCAGTGGGCAGGAAGGTAAACCACTTTGCAGACAACTGCTTTTCAGACCATCATTTCATAGACTTAGTTTGCAGAATAGTGGTCTAAAGAGACTCCACTAAAAAGAGTTTTGTGTTCAAGGAGGTTTGGGAAATGTTATATTCTGCTTTTGTCTTTTAGAGATTTGTAAAGCTCATGAGATTTTAGAGACCCTGAGAAATCATACACGGAAAAAAACCATTTTTTAGCCCAGTATTCCCAATTTTATTTAGTTAATTCATGGTTTTTTTTTTTGCTTTCAAAAATCACTAATATCCTGTGCAAATAACTTTCCAAAATTCATACTTTGGGAAATACTGATCTAAATATAAAAGAGGAGGATCTAGAATCAGTCTGTTGGATTCAAGTCCCAGCTCTACTCTTTAGTAACTGCGTGATATTGGTCAGCTTAGCCCAGTCTCCTCATCTGATAAAAGGGATCTAAGAATAACACTTACATATGCAATTATTGAGAGAATTAAATGAGGTGACAGATATATAGATATACAAATTAGGTACGATGGTGCATGACACAGAGTAAGCCCTCAATAAAAGTTAAATATTACTATTCTCATATTTCATGGATAACCACAGAAACATTTAAAGAAAAGCAAAGGCAATTGTAAAATGTAACACATTTTATAAACCACTTCCGTGATAGAAATGATAGAAACCATTATATTAACGGCAATAAACAAAAAGGCTTTAAAAAAATCTTGCTGCTTTTACAGAAAGGAACTCAGAGACTTGTAGATGGAATTGCGTAGAAAGAAAATAGACAGCCACCACTTGCATGCAAATATGAAGCTCTCCCAAGAAAATAATCTGAATTCTTGCTTATAAGCTTTCAGATTCAAATTCTGTTCTGATGAATGCCTCTTGTTTTAATGTGACTAAATGTTTCTGGCGATCAAGCAGATTTAAGAATTTCTGTAAGAGGCGCTCCTTCAGCTAACTTCCATCTTGCTGAATGAGTTTAGGAAGTGAGTACATCTCTCCCAGCTGCTTCCACTGCGCATTTTATCCACATGCTGACTGGGAGGTTCTGCTGGTGTAATTAGCTTCGTTTGATACACAGATGATTTAGCTGCACTTTCTCTTAATGACGTTCTGCTGCTGCCACCTCAGCAGTTTCTCACATCAGAATCCAGCTCTGATACCCAAAGAAAGTAGCCAGCTGTAGGATAGTCAATTGAATTTTATAACCACGTAGGGCATCACAGATCAGAATCTCTGGTGGAGGTTATTAAGTACATGGATGCCCTTAGGCCCCACACAGAGGCTACTGAATCAGAATTCTCAGTTTGGGTCCAGGAATCTGTATTTTTTGAAAGCTCTCCAGGTGATTCTGATGTGTAAATAAGTGTGGGAATCACAGAGCTATCGCAAGTCACTCATTTTAGAGATCAGGCTCAGAGAGCTTAAGAAACTTTGCATTTGACGAGATTTAGAACATGCTACTCCAAAATATGGCACCTTGACATATTGCATATTTTAAGCTGAAGGAATATGAGAAATGGCAGGTGCAGGAAGGACACTCTGACCTCGCCCTCTCCCCTGAAGCAGGTCATAAAACCCTCACGTGAGAGGTGCCCTTCTTATACCCAGAGGAAAGGTGCATCCTTATCTCTAGACAGAGCGATGACGAGAAGAATCTGAATGAAAAAACCTTGCTAAGTTTCCTCTGGTTTACTAGTTTTGCTCATTCCCTTTTGTCCTGTCACGTTTTTCCATGACTTTCCACTCTTCATCAAACCTAGTATAAAAATACTCAATTTTAATGTTTCATGGGGTCTTCACTTCCTTATGAAGGCTCCTGTATCATGTAAAACTTATATTAAGTAAATTTGTATGCTTTTGTTAATCTGTCCTCTGTCAGTCCAATCTATAGGGGCCCAGCTGGAGAACCCAGGAGGCTAGTAAGAAAACAAGAATTTTTTCCTCCTCTACACTGGGCAAGTCAACCTCCATGCCTCAGTTACTTCATCTGTAAAAGTGGGATAATAAATGTACCTACTTTACAGGATTTTTGAAAATCTAAAAGACAGAATCATTGGTAAATTCTTAGTAAACATTAGTTATTATCATACTTTCACAAATCAATTGTGTGACCCTTTTCTGCTTAGGAAGTGCCTGATACCTAACAAATATTGTTCAGGACTGAAGAACAAATTTTATTTTATTTCTCAATTTTATTCTTTTCAAATTTATTGAATGTTCAATTTTACTCTTTCCAAAGTAGCATGTAGAATATATGTAAAAGAAATGTGTAAAGCTTGATACATTTAAGAAAAGTCCTGATGGTAAGAGGAAGCACTTCTTTCTTGGATCCATTTATTTTTCTATCCCACATTCGTTCAGGTTGGGGAACACCATGGATAAGCCATTTCTTTCTTCAGCCCCAAGCACTAACTGTAATGGACACACTTCCATAAATGGTGTTACTATATAAATCAGTTCTGTCCTGTTGGGGCATGC